CTGCGATGAACTCGGCAGCTGTTGACGACTTCGCTACAACACTCTGGCGCCGAGTTACCCAAGCGACTGCACAACCGTATACTCGCACGACGACGCCACTGATAGATTTTCGGTCCTCGGTGTTATTTGCCCAGTCTGCGTCGGTGAGCAACTCTACTGGCTTAGCACTTTCGTCTTGTTTGTAGACCAATGCCATGTGTAGGGTACCTGCAACGTACCGCAAGATCTGCTTGACGGCAGTCCAGTGCGAGACCGTCGGCCGATTCACGTGCGCAGCCACTTGATTGACTGCGAAAGATATATCTGGTCGAGAAACTCTACTCAGGTACAGCAGGGCGCCTACCGCGGCTCGGTAGGGAATATGGTCTGCCAATTTGTCCTTCTCGTCGCCCGAAGTTAAGAAGCAACCTGAATTTAGGGGAAGGACGGATGGCTTGCAGTTCTCCATCGCAAAACGCTGTAGGATCTCCGTTGCGAACTGGAACTGGTCGATCGTCGTGGTGTTGGCCTCGGTGTCGACCTTGATGCGCATGCCGAGGAACCAAGTGATGTCTCCCAGGTACTTCACGTCATACTTGGCGCGCAGGGCCTCGACTAGCTTCGACATGGCCACTTGGTCTGAGTATCCAATGAGGATGTCGTCCACGTAAAGGAGGACCATCACGGAGTTGTCAGGGAGGACATATACGCATGCGTCTTCGCGGGTAGCACTGAATCCGTAGTCAATGAAGAACGCATTTATCTCGTCATGCCACTCCTTTCCAGCTTGCTTGAGGCCATATAGCGCCTTCTTCAGTCGCCACACCGTTCCTGGCTCGCCTGTCTCGAAGCCGCGGAGCTGGTGCATATAGATTACGGTATCCAGCGGTGCCTTCACGTACGCGGACGGTACATCGCATTGGCACACGCGAAGTCCGAATCTCATGGCGAGGGCGAGGAAGATCCGTACCGAAACTAGGCGGGCCACAGGCGAGTAGGTTTCACCATAATCGACGAGAAACACTTGAGAGAAGCCTTGAGCACAGAGTCTGGCGCGCAGCCGGTCGACGTTGCAATTGCCGTCGCTCTTCACCCGGAACTTTACCGTGCAGCCGATGACGTGGGCACCAGCCGGAGGAGTGACGACGTCGAAGGTGTTGTTGGCTCGCAGCGACTCGATCTCCTCCCTGATGGCGGTCTCCCATAAAGGCCAGTTTGGCGATCTTCTCGCCTCGGCTAGGGTGATTGGTTCTTTTACAACTTCACACAGGACTGCAAGAGCGTGGCCGATGAGTTGACTTGATATTCGCTCTGACCGTCGACGTCTGGTAAGCTCGGAGGTTCCGTTAATTTGTTCGACAGCAGCGTTAGTCAGATCGTCTGCATTTCTGACGACGTGTGGAGCTGGGCTTAAGTCGCTATCTTCAAGGGCTCTTTGAGGTCCACCTGCAGATTGTGGGTCGGTCACAGCAGGCCCCGTGGGGCGGCTTCCCCGTATTGAAGGTTCGGTCACAGCAGGCCCCGTAAGGCGGCTTCCCCGTGTGAGAGTATCGGTCACAGCAGGCCCAGTAAGGCGGCTTCCCCGTGCAAAGGTTTCGATTACAGCAGGTCTCATGGGGCGGCTTCCTCGTAATGCTGGCACTGCCGCGGTGGGTTTCGCTGCTTGCATTCCCCGCGAATCCGTCTCAGCTCTAAGTGGCTCGATGAACGTACGTAAAGTAGTGTCTGGAGGGTTTTCAGCAAATGTGGGAAAGTTTTGCATGAAGACGACGTCGCACGTCCGCTGAATGCGTGGGCCACCGGCACTAAAGTATATGAAGTAACCTTTGCGCTCATTGTCGTGCCCGACGAATACACCGGCCTTGCCTCGCTCTCTAAACTTGTATCGAGTATTTCTCTTTGAGCGAGGGATCTTCGCCACAACGCGCTCTCCGAAGACGTGAAGCTGGCTGACATCGGGAGCGTGGCCATAATAGCGCTCATACGGAGTTGCATTTGGATAGCTGCGGGAAAGGACTCGGTTTCGGACGTATACTGCATGGCGGGCAGCGTACTCCCAGAGGTTGTGAGGCAACCCGGAATGTACTTAAAGCGTTCTTGCCGTCTCCGAGATCGTCCGATTTGCGCGTTCCACCACCCCGTTCTGGTAGTGAGCATGGGGCTCTGAGTATTCACGCTCTATACCAGCCGCTGAGCACACACTTTGGAAGGCCGTACCCTCGAACTCTCCTCCATTGTCTGACCTCAGGACCTTGATTGAATGTGGCTGATTGTCGGACCGGCGGTTGACGATTACAAGGTAATCCTCAAAAGCTGCAGCAGCGTCTGACTTGTTTCGTAGGAAGGAGATATGCGTAAATCCAATCCACTTCAGAGCGAGGAAGTAATGATTACCGTGGATACTTCTCTGCATTGGGCCAGCGAGATCTGCGTGGCACACCTCGTCTTTAGTTGAGAGTGGGCGAGTTGCTTTCTTGGGCGCGGAGCGAGCCGTTACTTTGCTTAATGCACACGCCTCGCATTTGTCGTTAAGTACACGAGGGCCAACTATTTTTAGACCCTTCACCTTGCCCGAGTTCTCCAGTTCCAGGATAGAGTTGTAGTTTAGGTGAGCGAGTCGCTGATGCCAGTGCCTTAAGTCATTTTTGCTGTATTTCGGCGCTTGGGCGACCAGTGCAGATGCTGCCGCCGACCGGCTGGTGCCTCCTTGCAGCTCGTAAATACCACCTCGAACCACTCCAGAGAAGAGCAGTCTCCCGAATACTTCACACTTGTGCCCACTGAAGCTTACGTGCATGCCGTCTTTAAACAATGCCGCCACTGAGATGAGTGTGCGGGTTATTCCTGGCACGACTACGACATCGTGGAGAACGGTGCCGTTGTCCAGTCGCAGGCTACCACGTGCGGTTGCAATTAATGTGCGCTCGTCCGCCACCTGGATAACGTGTTCGCCGCACGGTTCGGCGTCGTGAATGTCCGCGCAGCTTCCCATGTGGAAAGACGCACCTGAGTCGATCACAGGGGCACTGTTGGGTATACCTGGGTCAGTTATAAAGTGCTCTCTCCCCAGCAGTGCCCGTGGTCTTCATTCGTGGTCCTCCCAGTCGTGGTCCTCGACGGGCTCTGCAGCGCCCGGATCTGGAGCTTGCTGTGATTTTCCCTCTTCATGATTTTTCGTGACTGTAGTATAAGATAATCTTTGTCGACTCGGTATGGTAGCGATTCTGGCCAGGCGGGCTTGCACCACGGTGCCTTGTCTGGTGGACCACTGGTCGTGGTATCCTGTGGTGTGGCCTCGCCGTTGGCAGACGCCGCACACGGCGTTTGAGTAGTCGCGTCGCGGTGCCTTGGACCGACGGCCACTGATCTCAGGAGGACTATGGTCATTTCGCTTCATTCTCCCCACTTTGTCGCGCGGAAAATTGGGGGGTGCGCTGGACAGTTGTCTTCTCCCATCATGGCCAGCAATCTTTGCGAGGTACTTTACGGCTTCCTCCATTTCATGCCAGGGATTGTTCGACTGCGTTTTAATGCAGCTGAGTAGAGAAGCACGATGCTGCGGCCACGCGTTCTTGATGAACCTTGATAGCGCGTCTTCTGCAGTCGCTTTGGTCTCTTCACCGTCGTTCATCGTAGCAGCTATGGTGCTTAAGCGATGGGCAAAATCGGCGTAGGACTCGTTGGCCTTCTTGATGGTTCTGCCTAAGGTGGAGCTGATCTCGAGGCGATCAAGCGGGCAGCGGAACTGCTCGCGAATCGCGATGCACAGGGCATTGAAAGACACACCTTGGAGCATATCAAAGCGTCGTATGAACCACGTCGATGCAGCACCTCCCAAGTGTGCAGCCACGACCATCAGCTTGATGCTGTCGGGCCAAGCTGCCTCGTCCACCATTTCTCCAAGTCGAATCTGGATCTTGAGGCGCTTGATCCAGTCGCCGGCACCAGCGTCAAGGAAACCTTCTTTAACTTCGCCGGTGAAGTTTTCAATTTTCACCAGCTTCGTGCTGTGCTTCTTGGAGGTTGGGGGTTCTGGGTCCGGTTCTCTGTCTCCTAAGTTCGCGATAATGTGGGAGTGTCGATGATGGCTGTTAACCTGTTGTCGTGGTGGGGAATTGGAAAGTGAATTGATGAATTAGACTGGACTAAAGGCTGAGAGTGCACTATGTTGAAGTAGAGGAGCGTATACGTCAACACATTATGACGACGACACCGTAATAGTGCAGCGTACATGTACTGGCAACCCGCAGTGCTCAAATTGAGTGATTGAGCCTAAATCACTCCAGAGTAATGATTCTCGGTGGTCGTGTAAAGCAGAGACACGTGCTGGTCTCCTGTACAGTATTCCTTGAAAGTAACCAGCTTGAACCCATAGCGCGACTCGCGTTGGCGAGGAACCGGAATTTCGGAACTGTAGGCGGAAGCGCCGCTGGTGCTGCCGCGCCGCGTGGCGTATCTATTGATTCGCAGCGGAATCTTATCCTTGGCATCAGCGACTGCCGGAAAAGTAACGGCTGGGCTGGTTGAAGTGCAATTGGAGGACCCAACACGACGTCGACAAAAACCGTCCTCCCAGCTTTACGTCGGCGGTGTCACAGCTGGCGAGCTCAAATCAACCCTGGGGAAAGGGGGTGCCTTCGCGCGCGCTGCGCCAGGAGAACATGCTGCGTCGCGCACTGCAACAACAATGCAATTGCAAGTTGCAACACCGAGAAAAGCCTAAATGTCAACCACAAAAAGCCAGCAATAGAAAGATCGCGCAACAACTGCAATAGGGCCTCGACCCGCGATATCTTTCTCGGCTGCGCGGCGGTCGTTACGCGGGAATCCGTAGATTCGCGCTTTTCAAGTTCGATATCGGCCGCTTCCGATTGGGCGGTGAATATCCTTCTATGTCGCATAGGAGAATTCAATACGGACCAAGTCGCCTCTTACAATTCCCAAGTAAGACACTGACACATCCGAATAGATCAACCGCCGAGTTGCAGTCTCGTTGCAGACATCGCCATTCTGTTGTTTCCGTCGAAGTCAGCACCCCCTGTAAGTATCCGCTGCTGCCTCGCGCACCCGCAGCCCGCACATCTGCCCTGCCATGTCCCCAACCGCTGACACCTCGCCCGCGCCGTCGCGCGTCCTGGAGGAAACGGACTGGAAGCTGCAACGTAAGCTCAAGCACCACCAGCGCGACGCTGGCCGCCGTTCGGCTGAAAGCCGTGCCGAGCCGCGTTTCAAGCATCACACGCATCACCAGCACCGCGCCAACGTCATGCGGCTTGAAAAAGAGGCGTGGCTGCATACGACCACCAAGAGCGCACGTCGCAATATCCCCGAGCATGTGCGGCACTCGCCAACGACAAGCGGCATGCGGGGAGCTCATGCGTCTCAACTGAGCCGTTCGGCGTCCGCAACCTCGTGGCCACCGGGAATGGCGGCAACCGAGGAGCTGGCTGAGGCTATGGACTCACTGTCGCTTGCGTCGTCAGCGCCGTCGACAGCGTACGCCGAAAGACAGGACGAACAGAGACGAGAGGCGCGCCCCATGACGCTATTTGAGAGCGCACGCATCTTCAATGAGTCGGGTCAGTTGCTCAGCCACGACAACTTTGACGAGCTGGGATCGTCCCCTGAAATGATCGCTGAGGGCACACCCAAGCGCAAGATCAAGCGTCGCGTAGGACGTCGCAAACACGAGACCAAACGCGTCAACGCAGTTGATACTCTCAACACTGACCAAGTAGTGCTGGAGCTCATGTGTCTGCTGTTCCCCGACATAGAGGTGACGCAGGAGCTGAACGTGCTATTACTGGGTAGTACCCACCACGAGGACGTTTTCCACTTCGACGAGGACGACATTGTCGACATTCCAGCAGCTACCAAGCCGAAAAGCGGCGTTCTGGACATTGATCTACTCAAGTTTCAGGCCGCGCTTACAACTATGCTCTTCAGCTCGGATTACTCGGTACAGGAGATGCCAGCGCGCGGAACGTCTGCGGAAAATCTACAGGAAATGTTTTTAACGCCACAATGGATCGCTCACGAGATGCTGGCCATGCTCAAGCTGGACGTCCTCGCTCAGTACGACCGCTTCGCTGTCATGAACGTGATTTTTCGCACTATCCCAGACAAACGACCGTGTATTCTAACCGCAGCAGCATCGGCTTCGCTGGCGATCTTCCAGCACCAGGGTCTGTCGGACATTTCGCCGCGCGATACCGACAAGGACCTCGTCACTGTCAAAGGCATAATTGCATTTTTGAACGCAGCAATGGATGTCATTGAACGGGATGCTCGATACAACGCCGACGTTTTCGGCAACAGTGAATATGAGATCCGTGAGGCCATCGGTGCATTCTGTAACCAGATCATGCGCGCGATCCGGTTACTTGTCCGCAGCTCGCCTGGAGGCAGCGGGAACTCTGATTCCAATCGCAACCAGCTTGAGAAATACGCAGAATGCAGCGACTCTGCCGAGGCGACGACGTACCGTGCGATGGGTGAGCTGGTGAACCGGATGGCCGCATTCTCTCCTATGCACGGCGAAGAATTCCTACGTTGGATGCTACTCAAGTGGCCACAACGGAACGTGCAGCTGCAGTTATTCTTCGTACGGTTCACGGGGGGCTTGTTATCTCAGTTTATGCGGCTCGGTCTCATGTTCCCTGCCGACGTCGTGCACCGCGCCTTCACGCGCATCCAGACTTGTATTCAGTCGACGCACTTCCTCGTGGCGCAAGAGGCGTGTAACACGTGCGGAAACTTTCAGCTCATGAGCATGTACCTGTCGTGCGATCAGCCCCTGCGAGAGAAGATCGCGTCAGCGCTGCACGAGAACGCCACCTCCCACTGGAACAAGCGAATCCGTAAGATCTCCGACGAGTGTTTTGACATGCTGCTAGACCTGGCATGAACTCAAGGAGAGACAAAGAGCGGTCCCATATGAACAAAGCACATTAGAAAACCGTAGAAACATAAAATAACTCACAGGCCCAGAGCCTGTACAAACGCGCTAAGCGCAAAGTATGACCATAGCACAATAGAAAACACTACAGTACCGGTACCTTGAATGCTGTCATTCTCGCATTGTTTAGTGTTTGCCAGCATCGAACACGCGCAACGATAAAGCCTTGAAGATAAAATAATTTTTAAAAATCGCTGAGCAGCAGCTTCAACTTGCAGCCCCAACACACGGATCTCATGCGTCCCAAAAATGCGTGCATTTAGCGACACTGCTGAAAGAGAGGTGAACTTAACGCTACCGGTGAGATCAATCACCTTGCGCAGAGGAATGTTTTACTTTACCATAGTTGAGACGTACGTACACGTGTACATGCCCTTTGCTTTTGTATCAGTATGCTACTGGCAGTAGCCTTGGTAGCAGAATTAACTTCGCAGCTCCATTTCTCGTGACGCGTCAAGCGAGTCGACAAAACTGTCCAACCGCTTTGTCGGCTCGTAAAGTGTAATTTTCCGACGATCTTGTTGACTGGCGGCCAGGCAGCATGAGCGATGATGCTGCGACTCACTCTCGACTGGTGAGTCCCCCATGGCGACGTTAAACTGTACACGACGTTGTTGCTGCTGCCACGCTGTCGTGTCACGAACAGAGCTCCATTGCCACTTCGACGCAGCGGACGCTGCCATTTTAAACGGTCCCTAAACGCTGACAGGCTGTCAGTGACAGCGGCGACGACGTTAGCGTCTTCATGTTGAATCTTCATGCCGTGTTCGCGATCGTGGCGTTGAAGTTGCTATGATTCGAGCGCCGTAAAAACCGATCGGGATCCGTAAAAAGGGTTTGTAAAAACAATTTTAGAAATCCCCTGTCAAAACGAGTACAGATTCAGTCATCTTGAGTGCATCATATCAGCTTTGAAAAACAAAAAGAGAAAGATTATACACCAGCTATATTAAACGCGAAAGAGCTGAAAACAACAAATAATAGGTTGAGCACTATTTACGCATCCAATTTGACGGGCCGAGGTTTTTGAGCTCGCCTTTATCTCTCTTTCTCGGCAGAGTAGCGATCACATCAGTGCCAGGCTCGACTAGCTGTCTGTGCGTCTTCTCGAGACAGGCAGGCAGGCGGACAGGCCAGTTGGTGGACGGTCGACGTAGCTGGTCGACCCGCAGCAGGAGACAGCGCCACCGACGATCGAAGTAGAGCTCTACCACTCGTGATAGACCCCAGAGATCATTTAGCGCTCGCGCTTCAACCAGCAGATTCAATACGCAAAAGCCACAACAAGAGCGCAGAGGGAACGGCTACCGACTGGAGAGAATCCGGCGTGACGCTCCAAGCTGCGGTGTTCTGGGCAGAGACGCAGGATGCACCAGGACAATAGGAGGCAGGAACAGATCCGCAGGATGTGCAGGCGAGGCAGGATATCCAGCAGATTTAGGAGGTGGATGATCTGCATTTCTGCCTTTTGGATCGCAGCAGCGATGCCATCGCTTGGGGTCGACGCATTGGTGCAGCAGACGCAGGTTATCGCGAGATGTCTCGGTTGGGCCAATAACACATGCGCCTTCGCTCCTGTGGAACCTGTGCACTTTTCAGGACTCGATCTCGCCCACCAAACAGTGTGCAAGGTACTGACTGCTTGGCTGGTGACATTGTTTTCATTGTTTAAATGTGAGTTTCTGTTCGTTTCGTGGAACTGCAGGCAGATTTGGCTGTCGCGGTCAAGCAGATTGACTGGGAATCTCCTGCTGGTGGACGGGGAGCTGTGGATAGTTTGCAAGTCAATGGCTTGGAGTTGCTGCAGGCACCTGTGCACCCGTCGCAGGCGTATATGATGGCAAACTACCCTCACTGCAATGATATGTTTAACCTTTTCCCGCCCTGGGGAAATGGTATCATTGGTCCAGAAGGACGCAAGTCCATTATCCCGCAGATCACCAGTGCCGACCTGCTGATTTCGATACACTTTAGCTGGAATGGACCTCATGAAGTTAACCCCGTCTGCTCCATGGTTGGCGTGTCTATTGCTGGCTACGCGGTGATCACTATTTATCTCGAGGCGCAAGATGATTCAGGTGCAAGCAGCTGTGGCTAGACGAGACATGTCTGTTTGGGTAATGCTAACTGTGTGGGCCATGTACAGATTGTCCTGGTTGGGATGGCGCCTCGCTTACTGCTTGCTTCGGCAACGGCAAATGCGGCTGTGCGGCAAACGATTTGACCCCACGGACGTGTTCATGCGTGTACGAACTACTATATAACTTGATGTTTCTTAGAAGGTAAGGGAGTCTGACTACTTTGGTTATGAAAACTTGCAGGAATGGATACGCCGCCCCTGATTGCCGAGATTGCGCCAGCGGATTCTATGGTAAACATTGCAAGCGAACCTGTGAGCCGTGCCTCAACGACGGCCACTGTGATTCGGGTTTGACGGGCACTGGGAAATGCGTTTGCCCCGAAGGTTTCGACCCTGATACCCGCTGTGCGACGTGTTTGCCGGGCTTTTATGGAGCTAAGTGTAAGCGGTGTCCAGATTGTAATTTCCCTCATGGAAATTGTGACGACGGCTTGATGGGAAGCGGCCGGTGTTCATGTGCGGTGGGCTTTGACGCAGACAATAACTGCATGGAATGTATGAGCTCGTTCTTCGGGTCAACTTGCCAGCCGTGTAAACCATGCGATGGTGGTAAGTGCAACTACGGGCTTCTTGGCGATGGCGAATGCGTGTGCTCCGAAGGTTTTTCATCGAAATCGCGATGTCTCGAGTGCGAAAAGGGCTTCTATGGCCCGTCATGTACACCATGCCGCACATGTAACAACCACGGCCGCTGTAACGATTCAAGCTCTGGTGACGGAACGTGCATTTGTGATGAAGGCTACACACCTGAAAGCCGTTGTTCCCTTTGTGACGAAGGCTGGGACTTTAACCCCATGACGATGTCGTGTCAGTGTGCACCGCAACACTTCGGAGCCCACTGCCGGTCCTGTCCAATCTGTGCTCCACACGGACACTGTAACTCGGGAGTGGATGGCGACGGACGATGCATTTGTGACATTGGATGGTCCGATTCGAACAACTGCGTGGGCTGTATGAATGGTTACTACGGCGAGACTTGCGTGGCGTGTCGTAAATGTGGTGAGGGACGTTGTGACGATGGACTGCACGGCTCAGGCAAGTGTAATTGCCACCGTGGCTGGAATTCTCTCACTGACTGCTACGACTGCGAGGAAGGCTACTTCGGAGAAGATTGCCAATCCTGTCCTCGCGACTGCGGACATGGCACTTGCTCCAGTGGACTGAACGGGACGGGAGAATGCATGTGTTATGCGGGTTGGAGACTCGAAGGGAAGATGCCGTGCACCACTTGCGCTGATGGGTACATCGGTCCAACTTGCCAGTTGTGTCCTGGTTACTTGGAAAGCGAAGTGGCTTGCAATGGGCATGGCCAATGCGTCATGTCTGGCACTGAAGCTGTATGCCACTGCGATGCACGTTATGGAGGGGATGGCTGTGAGTCGTACGATTTCCCGTTTGTAATGGTGGCCATTCTGGGCACTATTGCGCTGTCGACGCTGGGTTTCTGCATGTGCACTATGCGTCGCTTAGCTCGCCAGCCTCACGCATTGCAGGGCCCGTTCCTGAACCGTGGGCACAGTTTCTCGCAATCTGAGTACGTGGAAATCTCCGACATGGCAGATCTCGAGTACTTCGTGTCCAATGACAGCCGGGATTGGCTTATCCCATTCGATTCGCTTTCTTTACAGTGCGAGGTGGGCAACGGAACTTCAGGTCAAGTGTTCCGTAGCTTGTTACACAGTGGCGGAGGTAGCTCGGTGGTAGCCGTCAAGCGGTTGTACAGTCCCGTTACGGGCCAAGAGTATTTTCAGAGCTTCTTTCGCCGTGAAGTCAGCATTTTGAGTCGCTTGCATCACCCGAATGTCGTGCGGTTCTACGGTGTGAGCTACTACAATCGCGTGCTGTACATTGTGACGGACTTTTGCCCGAAATCACTCAGTGGACTGATAGAGAACCCAGCAGCCAAAGGGCCTCTGGAGGAGGCTGTCTTCATGAAGGTGATCAACCAGATCGTTAGCGGCATGGGCTTTCTACACAGCCGCAACGTGGTACATCGTGACCTGAAGCCAGCCAACGTCCTCATTTCGGAGACAGACGACGTCAATATCTGCGACTTTGGTCTTTCTCGCCTCATCGAGCCTGATGCCACGACCATGACTGCTGAGGTTGGCACGCCAAGTTACATGGCACCGGAAATGGCAACAATGGGCGGCATCCAATGCTCCACGAAGGGTGACGTGTACTCATTCGGCATCCTGCTGTACTCCACTTGGTCCCGCAGTAAACCTTACGGCGACCAAGGCATGAACCCATTCCAACTAGTATGTTCGCAGTAGTGTGTCTGTCTTTGTCAAAGTGAAAAGCTCACGACTCTTTTGTGTCTTCTTGCAGATGACGGCAGTGGTAAATGGACTTCGTCCAGTGATTCCAATCAGCTGTCCGCCGGCACTGGCGCGCCTCATGCGGTCGTGCTGGCATCAAAACCCGGATATGCGTCCGTCATTTCCGGAGATCAGCCAGATCCTGAAGGACCAGTGGTTATTGTCCATGTATACAGAGGAGGAAGAGTACTACTACCCGGAATCTCCCGGGCGCGTCCAGCTTATGTCGGCTTCCTCGTCCGTGTCCACGATCCCCACCGGAGGTATTGGCCACGGCCGCGGCAGTAAGGAGAACGTTAACGCCATGTCGTCGTTCGCGTCGCCTCGCCATGGCGATGGGTATGGGACCTACCAGACAGCAGAAGAAGATGTAGACCCTCGAGAAAACGATCGGCTTTTGGATGAAGAAAAGCGGCCACGATAGATTCTTACGACGACTAAATAGACTTGTGAACCACAGCAGACCGGATAGCGTTGTTCCTACCGAAACAGACGCCGCATATTACGTCCGCGGGCCAGTGGTCGACGTTTGTAGTACTTGCGGTGTGCCTCACGAAGGTGACGCGGACGGATCGGGCCTGTCTCGCCGTTCTTCTCCATAATCCGTCGTGCCTCAGCGGTGATCTCCCCGACGAAGACCTTGGTCATACCGGACATGACAATGGCCATCACGTTTGTTACATTGGGATCCTTTTTGTCTGAGGCCGAGCACTCGTGGATCGCCTGTGCCATACACTGCAGCAATACAAACCGTCAGCCAGAATATGACTCTACTACTGTTGGAGATTCATCTTGTTACCCGTTTGATGGCCCCACGCTCAAAGTGCGAACGACGAAACTGCTCGTGACGTCGGGCCTCCGCCTCGGGTAGACTCTCCATCAGGCGCAGCATGGAAGCGCTGTCCGAGAGCTCTATCTTGTCTTCATCGCTGTCGATATCTTCCATCTCCTCATCTTCTTCGTCGTCTCCTTCATCAGCAGTGCTCTCCTGGGGATCATCGTCGGTTGTGTCCCCGTGCCCGTGCCGCGCCATGAGCGTCTTTCCCTCATCTTCGTCGTCAGTTTCCTGCGACGCACTAGGAGCCGCCATGTCCGCGCCAGCGTGGCCCACAGTATCTTGCAATCTATTAGCGTCACCAACGCTGGACAGCCCTGTCAGGGAGCCTGCTGGGGTGCCGGAGCTTGCCCTGTCGGCCGTGTTCATAGCGGATTAAATCCATGATGTCGTGTACACCTATTTGGAGTGGTACACAGAAAACGTCGTTGAAGTGTTCGTCATGTTCACCCCCCCCCAGCGGTAAGTGCTGCTGCAGATCTGCACATGCCACGTTTGGGGTCATCGCCCTGTGGCTCTTATCGATCACTTCAACTGTAGCTTAGAAAATGCCTGAAAGTCGTTGCTGAATGGCTCGCATTAGTATAACCGCATTATCGGACGATGAGCCTGTGCTTACAAAGTACTTCGAAGTAGTACTTTGGTTCTCATTCAACGAGTCGCTGAGCCTTGAACTTGAGGTGCTTGACTGTGTCGTGCAACTGAATGAGGTCATGCACCTTGCCTAAGACCAAACCAGAGATTGAACGACTATTGTCTCGAATATTCGTTTCGAGAACTATGCAACTGAGGCTGAGTTTGGACATTCTGGAATTATATCAAAGTACATGTAACGTTATGCTCGTTCGACGTTTCCGAACTATCACCCCTTGAAGCAGATACTTGATTCAGATAATTTCATGAATATGTCGATGCCATTTGTGAACAAGCCCAAATTTGAAGGGGCGAATAAGTTGCCACGGCTTCACAGATGTGACTTACCGTAGCGTCTCCCTGACAGGGAGCCCCTGCTACTGCAGCATCTCACCGAGATCCAAAATGCCCCCAAGGATGCGAAGCAAGAGTTCACGACCAGACGTCGCCATCGAAAAATGAAGTGATTCAGGTTGCAGCATGCCGCAATTCTATCAGCGAACTGGCCTTAAGAATCAGCTTCAGAGACGACCACTGTCCGCGAGATTGTCTTGACGGTGCTGTCGCCGATGACTCTCTGGTTGTTTAGCCGGATGCGTTGCAAGTGAAAGCTGTCGTACTTCGTAGCCGATTCGGTCACGCTCTCGCCGGGGGCGACATACCGCAGCGTCACCGCGAATTATTTAAAAGTGCAACCACACTTTGTGGCACGAGTCAACCCAGCAAGCTCACCTTTTAAATCTCTGCCACGATAAAAGAAGACTAGCGAATTTGCTGCGTCCGCCGCCGCAAAAAGCTACCGAGGGGTCCCGTAGAGTAATTTTAAGGCGTCGTTGTAGTTGTTGTACGACCATCCGACCGCAGGTGGTTGTGCAACCTCACAATACCAAGTGTCGTGTATCATTGACTGCTTTATGTTAGCTTTACGTTAGCTCAATCCTTGTGGACTTTTGCTGTTCAACTGCTGCAGTGAACAAGCATTTTTACCTTTTGACTGTTGACGCACATGCATTTTTATTTTGTAACAATGTCGTGTCATGATCCAATTGTTCAGCCAGTTTCTCAGGCTTGCTTTCCATCAGCATTCGCGTCGCGGTCTTTAGGGCTATCTAGCGAACCGTGCGAGCTGGCAGTGCATCGCTTACTGCTTTCGTTCAGCTCACGCTGCTCTTTACGCATTTCGTACTCTAGGAGACCTTGCATTATGTGCTGGCGGTGCTTCTCGATCTCTACCATGCGCGCCAAGGCCACTTCCTCGTTGCGACGCATCTCCGTCGCTTCCAGCGCGATCGCCGCGGCAGCGGCAAGTATGGACTCTGCTGTTGTCGCATCTGATGTTGCCTGTAGCTGACCAAGGAGCTGCGCTAGTTTGTCAGAGAGTTTGTTGACAGCTTTGGCCAATTCCGGGTCGTGGACACGCACTGGGTTATGATCGGTGCCTGCGTAAGGATTTAAGTCAGCTAATAATATATCACTTGAGCATCAAGAGTGTTTGAGCTGAAGAGCTTACCTGCACCGACTCCCAAGGAAAATGAGTTTTGTCGGCGGTTAGTCCGCTTTTCTTTGGATACTGTCAAGGTGTCGCTCAAGTTTTCTGTGGCGGCGGCCACTGCTAGTGCGTCCAATGCCTCATGCCTAGGCTGGCACAATGCTGAAGATGCCGACGACAATGTCACCGGTGCAGAAAGAGATGGATGCGACGCAGTCGAAAACCTCATTTTTTTCGCGGTGGAGGCCGGGTAAATGCCACGCAACCGCTCGCAGTGCTCTTTATGAGCTGCCTCGCTCGCAGCCTGCAAACGATCGACTCTCTCGTGGAAAGTCTGCTCGGCCACTTTTGCCGCCCGCTTTTCCTCGATTAACTTCGCGAAGCTCCCCGGATCCAGTGAAACGCCATCGATACCCATCAAACGCGCGATGGAGGCACGAATCCGAGTACTCCAGTTCCTGTCTCCTCCAATTCTGCTAGATGCTGCTGCTGCAACAGAAGAAGGAGCGGGGCGTTCGTCATGGATCGCTCCTTGCGACACTGTCGGCATGACTTCCATCTGAAAGACAGTAACGTCACGTTAAAACCACCAGCGGAGGTTTTGCCCCCAGCAGAGCTCAATTAACTTTCTCCCACCGACCTGGTTGTTCCGCAAGTGCAAGTGACGGTAAGGGCGCTGCGCATCATCCGAAGTAGCGAGTGGTGGCTGCTGTTCGGGATCTGCATTAAAAGCACAAGACACGTCTGTGGTCATCGACCTGCTACTCTTATCGATCGTGGACTACTGCTGGGAAATGCCCGTAGTCTCTAATGAAGCTTTAATCCAGACTCTTACCGCTTTTCTTAGCCTCATTCCGCCACATTATCGCGGGAATGAGGGTGCTTTGTATCGGTTTGGCTGTGTTTTAAAACACAACTATGAGAGAAAGAGTGCGCGCGCGAGAGCCTGTCAGCACACAATTGAAGCTGTGTGCGAGACGAAACGATACAAAACGAATAAAACCAGGCGAAGCTGAACGAATTCCTGACCAGCAACACATGCAAAAAGGCTAATGAGGGGGGGGGGGCTATAAGTCAACTTATGGGCGCAACCACTCCTACTTGCAAACACTCCTGCAAATATCTGACCCAGTCGCTGTAACGGTTGTCAGGCAAATTACCAACCAACGAGCAGTTTGATGGCTGAAAAAAGATTCTAGACTGCTGAGCCAGAGCGGGACATTTACATTTCTCAGCGATTTATTTTGTGGCATCAGCACCCCGAGTCATCACAGCAGGAATCCTGCTGCAGGATCCTTAACACGAGCTCTCTAAGAGCCCTACAAAGCGCAGCCATCCTACAAAACTCGCTTGAACAGGTTGAAACCCATTTGCGGACGTGAATGAATGCAAGAAAAAAAAACAATTTACGAAAAGCAAACAGTTGGTGCTGATTAAACAAAACAGCCCGTTCACGGATCTGCATCCAAAAACGCTTATTGTGCTTTACCAGAAAATTGGTGTCCTAGAATGATCTATTGTGGCATCTTTAAATTTTTGTTTTGAGATTTAAACCACAATATCTGACCAAGTGATACGGCCACACAGTACTTCGTCTAGCGCGTCTACATAGTGATACTAATGAGTAAACATAGCACCCATTTCTAATATAATGCCTGTCCCGTGCGAATCTTGCACGGCAATCCCCAACATTATGTGCCGGAATTATTTTTCCATATTAAAGTCTCAGAACTTACAAATCAGAGAGCGTTTATACGTTTGTCAGGATTGCTCTCTGGATTTTTTACAGGTATCCAGAGAGAATCAGATTACGGTTATAATATATACCCTTTCGTAATAAATAGCTATTTTAAGTGTTTTAGAAGTAATCCCGACGATTGAATACACCATGTACCAGAACATGTTGTGTAATAGATACCCTCATTTAATTTTATATATCTGTGCATTTGAGTCATCCATCAGCAAATTTGGCGTAAAAATCTTGGCGATTTTACCAGTACAGAATGATCCTCGTCTCGCAAAGAAAGCGCTTTTAAGAAAATATCGCACACATTTTGTCGTAGTAAAAGCTTAAGTGTGCACATTTTGAAAGGAGTGAGAAATTTGTTTAAAAAACACACTTTGTTCTAATAAAAATGATTTTCCCAATTTCCGAAGTTCCGGGATTGGTTGAAAAGCTGCATATCTGGCAAATCATGGCCAGCTGGAATAGCGTGGCTGAGGAACTATTGCGCACGACTTCCAGCCTCGACGCCGACGTGCGTTTCCGGTCACTAGTGCTGCAGCAACAATGCAATAATCTCCAGGCTATTTACGAGAACATTTATGACCTCGAAACGTCGCTCGTCGAGAAGACAACTGCGCAGCAAGAGGAGACACTGGAAGTGGAACGGTCGATCCAGGACGCCATCCGACGCGCGCGTCAAGTCCGAGCGGAACTCGTGCCGAAAGGCGACACCGGTGATAGTTGTAGTGATGAAGAGCATACCGAATCGCTGGATGCCGATGATAAGAAGCTGCAGAACATTATGGCCGTTGCGAAAGCGACGCGAACGACCCGGAGTTCTGAGAGGTTAGAACGTAAGCTGGAGCCCCTGCCCAAAGCTCGACTGGTGTACCCACGCAAATTAAAGGCGCTGGAAACACAGTTGCAGGAGTTGCAATTGAAGGAAAAAGAGGCCTCAAGTCGCTATGCGTTTTGCTGTAAGATGAGTGAGTATGTGTCTTTGAGCTCTCAAAGAAGGCAGCTCATTCAACAGCAACAGCAGAAATTCGAGTCAGGTGGCAGAATGGACGTACCTGTTTCTCGAATTCAGGCATCATTCCCCAAGCAGGTAGCGAGACTACGACAGGGGTATCAAAGGTTGACGGACTTTGTGCTCAAGAAGATTGAGGTCGGCTCGCCCCACTTTCGACACGTGGCTGAAGCACCGACATTTTCGTCGGTGTTTCCGATCTACCACCGCTTGAAGCAGGTAGGGTCATGGATCCCTACAATAAACCCCTACAGTGTTGTAATCTAACGGTTATATGATGCGCTTCCAGGCGAAAATGCTGTTGCGGCTGCTAAATAGTGAGGCCAGAGCATTGCTAGAGCGATTGCCCGCTTCTCCACCGAAGCTCTCGACTGCTACAGTAGCTCACCGAGAAGCAATGCTTTCAAGGATACGCAGGAAGATTTCGCTGCCAGAAGATGAAGCGCTACAAGCAGCAGCCAAGAAGCCTCAGTCAAAACTCCATGCAGACCAAGAGCTCCTAGAGAAGCTGCAGCTCGCATGGGCTGCGCGCGTATCGTCAGGATCAGCAACCGACAAAATTGAAGGCATCCACTCCAACGACATATACTCGACTAGCGTGCGGGAGGTTGTCCTGACAGAGCTGTCGAACGTTGTGCTGTGGTCGTTCAAAACCTGTTTCGCCGATACAGCTGAGCAGCCAGATGCGTCGCAAGTGGAAGCTGTTATGCGCCTCGTTCGGCTTGTCGACTCGGTAGCGCTCTCGCAGGGACGAGCATACCGCAGCGTCGTCACCCCGCGTTTACCAGCGTAAGCGGATCTACACGGTTTTGGATGATATTGGCTTCCCTGGAGAGAGAATCCACTTAAGTACGTAAAACGACCACTTAAGTACGATCTGAGAAATTTGTATTCGAGTGACTCACTGAACAGGACCAAAATGGTCGGAATTCACAATGCCGACGTCATGACTATAAATCCACTTACAAAAAACAAGTAAAACATTTTGGTACGAGGCAAGGCATTCCCCAATTGCGAGCGTCTCACAGACTAGTCAGACGCCAGGACTCTGTTGCTAGTCGCAGGATGCAGCGCAGGCCTCCGATGAACAAGAAGCGAAGTCTGGAGGATCTACAGCGCGCTTTGCGGGAGGAGGCGGAGTGGAAGGACTCGAATCGTTTTGCGCAGTTTGTGGCCAACGTTGTAGGCGGTATTATCGTGGTATTAGGTCTGGGCAGCTACCTGGTCGATGCGCTGTTTGCACGGCTTGCCGATGCTCCCGCACATCTTGACGAGCATTTGCATTATTGCCGGAACGTGGTGGTGGATCTGCTGAACGAGGCGCTTGTGGAGTTCTGGACGGTGATAAATAGCCTTCGACACCTCAAACGCGAGGATTTATCAGACCCGCAGGTTGTGGCGCGGCCCTTGGCAGTCGTTGCTGTTATTGCGACTATCGTCTTACTAGTACGCAAATATAAATGGGTCGGCTGGTTCTGCGGCTTGCAAGTGGTGATCATCTTGCAGTGGATCGTGGCGCTGTATCAGATGGCGCGTATCGTGCTCTCTTTGTCGCTGTATGTCACCGTGAAGGTGATCAAACAGATCCTCTTTATTGTGAAAAGTGTATATGTTGGGCTCTTCGGCGTACGCGATAAGCAGGCCGAAAGACTTCGCCGACTCATGAAAACCACCAAAAGCTACCGCGAATGGAAGCAGATGGCGCAATATCTCGACGTGCTGGAAGGGAAGGACAACTGGAAGACTACGATTCATGCTCAAGACACAGAGCACTGCGATTTTGTACAGATGCGTCACAACGTAGAGACGCTGACTCGAGCTCTTGACGGGGGTGAGAACATCAATGTGGACGAACTCCGATATATCGTGGCTTCGGTAGTTATGCGTGACGAATTGGGCGTAGACTCACCAAGTCTCCATTTGGAATGCAACTCCGGGACGAAGACGGCAATTACCAAGTATAACGCACTGGTGATTCGCGCTTTGGACACACTGGCTGGGATGAGTGATGAAAAGTTTCCTCACGCGGAGAAAGTCCGCTTCTTTAGGCGAATGAAACAGTCTTTTGGCTCGACGGCACTGTGTTTGAGTGGTGGCGGGTCCATCGCCATGTACCACATGGGCGTCATACGTGCTCTTCTGGATGCGAATGTGCTACCGAATGTCATTTCAGGGTCCTCCGGTGGCTCTATTACGGCAGCTTTTACTGCGTGCAGGACGAACCAAGAATTGCTGAATAATGTCCTGGTCAGCGACATTTCGACACGTTATTTCTCGCTGGGTATTCGCTGGTTTCCGCCGCTTTTGGAGCAACTTGCGCACTGCGTAAAGACGGGCTTTCTCGTGGCCTCATCGGACTTCGAGCGCACTACGGAGCACTACTACAGTGAACCTATGAATGCCGAGGACAAAACTATGTATTATACGTTCCAAGACGCCTTCTTGAAGACTGGTCGTCATGTATGTATCACCGTGTCAGCGTCCGATATTACGGGCCATAAAGGGCCAAAAAAGCTCTTGTTGAGTCATATTAACACTCCGCACGTGCTCCTGTGGAGCGCTGTCGCTGTGTCCTGCTCGCTTCCTGGCATTATGAAGGGAAAACAGCTTATGGCGAAAGATTTCCAGGGCAATATCGTTCCGTACGCGGTCCTGAATAAAGAGTGGGTGGATGGCAGCATTCAACACGATTTGCCCATGGAAACAATGGCTAGTGGCTTCGACGTGACCAATTTCATCGTTTCACAAGTGAATCCTCACGTGGTACCCTTCGTCAGTGACGAAATCGACAAACCAAGCAACACTAAGAGCATTTTCTACAAGCTCGAGAGTGTAATTGCAGGGGACGTGCGCCACCGACTGAAAATGCTCGCATTCCTGGGTCTCTTCCCAAAGATCTACGGTCATCAGTTTAGCTCGTACTTCAAGCAAAACTTTTCAGGAAATGTGACGATCATCCCCGACTTTCGCTTCCTGGAATCCATCGGCATCAAGGCCATTTTAAACCCAACTGTGCAAGATATGACACATTACATCGAAGGCGGCCAGCGTGCAGTGTGGCCTAAATTGGCGTACATTCGTCACCTTTGTAGTATCGAGAAGTGTCTCGATCACCATCTCGAGCAAATGCTTGGTGCCTCTGCCTACTCATACAAGAA